ACGCACACACACACACTCACACACACACACACACAAACACACACACACACACACACACACACACACACACGTAGTCCTACCAACAAACACCCACCAACCAATCAGCCGTGTCGTCACGTATTCCTTCGTGCCTGTATATCCTCCCTGCACCATCTCCCACCCCCACCCCCCACCATCTCCCTCCGCCCACCATCTCCTATCTTCTCTCGTCCTGCACTGATGAAAAAAAGGGCAAAATCCAATCTAGATACCTCTCACTTCAGCCTTTGCTTAATGAAAATCACACGCTAGTTATTTCTCCTCGCGCTAATTCCAATAATGAGACCAGGGGATGAGGGGGGTCTTTAATTATCCACCGCGCTATCACACAGAGAGACGTAGGGGACAGAGGGAGGTTCTGATTGGACATTGCTTGATGGTTTCTGATTGGCTGAGAGTTCAGGATAGTGGATGTGTTTATGGATGGGGGATGCATTATTTATTTTCCTTTTTCTCTCTAAGCACTAAACATAATAATATCATTATTGTCACTTTTTAGCATTAGCAGGATATTCCGGAAAATGCTATTTTGAGAAAATCGAAGGTAAAGTTTTTGAACCCTTGTTCAGTTTCTTTAAAATACAAGGAGAGCTTTCTCTACAAGGAAATAAATATTCACACCAATGAAACCATACTTCTCCTATAGGCAGGGAAATGCCCACTTTTGGTGTAGGTCAAGATATCTGGAAACCCCTGAAATCTAGGTAACCCCGCTTGACCTTAAAAGCGACCATATTATTGAATTGTAAGTTTTGACTCGGAGAGAGGGTGTAGCTAAAAGGAAAAGATGTAGACGTCCATTCCAATGTTGTTGTTAGGAGAGGTTTTAAGAAAATAGGTCATTTTAAAAAGAAAACAGGGTTTTTCCGTTTCTATCTGAACCAGTTATCTGAATCCGTTCTGACAATATGATGTCTCAATGTATATTGTAGCGACTGCGTGACCCCTTACAACTAGAAAGTGTTATTGGGTGTTTAAATGTCTGCTTCTTTTCCTCCATCATGGGCAATACTGGAGTCTCCAACGTGACACGCATATTCAATAAAGTAAAGTAAAGTTGCTCCCACATCTGATCCGGACATTGGGGATTGCCTTGTTAGTGAGACAACTTCCTGGGCCTTCGGCATATTGTGGTAGGGTGGCTAGTTCCTTTCCACGCCGCCTTTACTTCCCAAACTCAGGTACCCATTACTGTTGGGTGGACAGGAGGGGGCGAAAAAAATCCGTGTCCGAACCGAGGCTCGAACCTGGACTTTCTGTTTCGGAGACGAGCGCGCTAACCGCTCCGCCCCCGCCCCCTCGACACTCATATAGAAAGCTGAAAGCTGCGTGTCGTTGTAAGGCTCCACTTTTAGGTCCTACTTCTTTTCTTTCCCTCTGTTGTTTCTGTCTGTGTGACTGTTTGTCTGTCTGTGTGACTGTTTGTCTGTCTGTGTGACTGTTTGTCTGTGTGACTGTTTGTCTGTCTGTGTGACTGTTTGTCTGTCTGTGTGACTGTTTGTCTGTGTTGTCTGTGTGACTGTTTGTCTGTCTGTTTGACTGTTTGTCTGTCTGTGTGACTGTTTG